CTCCCCCTCTCCCTCTCCCCCTTCTCTCCCTCTCTCCCTTTCTCTCTCTGTCCCTCCCTCCATCTCTCCCCCCCCTCTCCTAGCAATTGTTATTCTCTCCACAGGGAGGAGTAGGATTGTGTGCCCATCTCACATTCTTATGCCAAGTTTTTTTCCTGGCTTGGGCTTACACTGTGGGTTCTTATATTCAGCTACCCTGCTGTGTACAGTTATTCCCTTGTAGTTCTCCACAGCCCCTATCCTTATTTGTTTTATTCATTTCTTCTACAGTAACCCTTCAGCCTTGTGTGAGAGGATGTAGTAGTGTATATACTCATTTTTTTTTAACATTTGTCACCTCTCTGCAATTTAGCCTATGGTATTTTAATCCATCTCATCTACCACTTCTCTTCTCTTCTAATGTTTTAGTTTGTAATTTCCTTAGAAATACAAAATTGTGCATGAATTAAACTAAAAGTAGCTATTTTGCAGATTTTTATACATTTTTATTTCTGGTAATTTATGTATTTATTTTTCTTTAACTGAACACCAATCATATACTAAAATATGTAGTAATAGTTAATCAAACAGTGTCAAAACTCATGATTAAAATATCATGAATAGAAAGAAGTCATATGCAACTGATTCAATAAAGTAAGCAAGAGTAAACATCAAACACTGGAATGACAGGATTTTAGCTATATACACTAATATTTCTCAAGGGAAAAATTGTCTCAAAAAACAATGTAAGAAAATTACGTTTGTTAATATCAATCTGTCCAATTGTTGAATAAATGATGGAACACTAATGGGAAGAATATAAACAAAATAATAAACACAAAAATCATAATTTTCAAAAAGTGACAAAACACGTAAGGCAATTCATAGAAAATGCAAACATACAATGAAATCACAAAAGAAGTTAAATGCATTAAAATGAAAATAAAATATTAAAAATACAATCAAATCTTAAAAAGTAGAATACCTAGAAGTATCAGTGGTATCAATAGAGGAAGAATTATTTCAGCTCTAAGATGACTTGAAAATAGGTTCATCAACTTTCAAGGTTTTAAAGCCAAGAAATATATGATTGAATTCAGTGATCTGATTATTCATGTGTTCAACATAAAGCCTATACGTGAAAAAGAGAATGTTCTAAAAGTATGAACAGAATCATTACTTATGACAGAAGAAAAGAAACAAATTTAATGTTAAGGGAATGATGAATAGTAAA